GCTGTGCCTCCTAGCCTATCAGAATGGCCATCCTGCAGGCTGCAACCCTTTATGAGAAATAAAGCTGCTCTTTCTAGATTTATAAACCTCGTCATTTTTCAGTTCACATAATTTTGAGTTTTGGACTGCTAGTTTTGGGCTGTTTGTTTCTTTTGAACCAGGAGGTCACAGTTTCAACGACATTGCAGGGTAGTGCACTAGCCCTCCTTTAAACAGAAGGACTTGGATATTCCATTTAGCTGGAAATAAGAGAAATGTGTGTGGCTCCTCTACTTGATGGGACATATTTACTAACGAAAACAATTAGAAATGCAAGACCAAAAGGATCAGTGTCTAGGGCAGACTTTTTAAAACTCATGCCTCTGTTGGAAATACTTGAGAGGGGTAAATCTTACGTTCACTCAACAAAACTTAGTAAGTACTTACTGCAGGCCATACCATGTGCTGTTCTAAGCAGTGAGAGGAAAGTGATGACAAGACAGCAGAGGTTCCTGGCCCGGCAGAGCTTATATTCTTGTGATTAGAGAAAGACACCATAAGAAAATTAATCAGATAATTTCAGATAGAGATCAATGTTGTGAGATACCTAGTAATAGTTAGAATACCCTGCTGCTTTACAAAGGGTTAAGGATTACCTGCTGCTTTACCAAACCCTTGTTGAGAAAGTATGTATTCAGTCAATATTTCTGACAATTATGTTGTGACCCAATGCCCTCCACCAAAAATCAGAGAGACGTAGATTAGAAGGAAGGAACTATGGCTGGGCACAGTGGCTCACGTCTATAATCCCAGCACTTCGGGAGGCCGAGGCGAGTGGTTGGTTCACTTGAGGTCAGGAGTTCGAGACCGGCCTGGCCAACATGGTGAAACCCTGTCTCTACTAAAAATACAAAAATTAGCTGGGCATGGTGGCACACACCTGTAATCGCAACTACTCCGGAGGCTGAGGCAGGAGAATCACTTGAACTCAGGGTTTGGAGGTTGCTTGCAGTGAGCCGAGATCACACCACTGCACTGCAGCCTGGGCGACAAAGCAAGGGTCTGTCTTAAAATAAAAAAAAAGAAGGAACTGTGTACTATGTTGTGGTCAATACTTTGGTAATGCCTGTTATATTATATATTGAGAAGTAAAATTCTAAAACCTTGGTAAAGCAAGGTTAAGGAAGGCCTCAGCGAGGAGGTGATGTTTGAGCCAAATCTCAAATGATGTGAAGAAACTTTTGTGAAAAAATTTGTGAATCTTGAAGACTAAAAATCTGTGAGGGAAGTGAATCTTGAAGAGTGCTGTCCTGTTTTGAGAAGTGAGGAAATCAAAGGAGACAGAAGCGCTCTGGAATTAGGCGAAGGCTTCTGGCCATGCTGGCAACTAGTTGCTTGTGGCCTGAGGAATCTGCTTTCCTCATGCATAAAATGACAAAGTTTGGACCAGCTCCCTCCAAAGTGTCTTTTGTCTCTTGTATTTTGAATGTATTTGATATTTATTGACATTTTTCTTTATTTTTATAGATGTAGGAGGGTACAAGTGTAGTTTTGTTACATGGGTATATTGTGTAGTTGTGAAGTCTAGAGTAACCACCTGATTTATTGGCATTTAATGGAGGATTATTAGTTGGTAAAATGCATTATTTTTGTAACCAAATACATGTCAAAAGGCAAAATTTACTAAGGGATACTAATTTTTAAAATGAGATTTATATGAGTTCATAATCTGGTATATTTGTCTAAAAACAGTGGAAACTGTACTGCTTAATTCAGTGTGCTAATATAGTTTTAATAAAGGACATCTTAACTCACCACTAACCTTTCAACAATAATGAGAAATAAGCTATAAGTGATGTCAACTTCTGTGATGGTTTCCATGAAATTGCCCTAACTTAGACAACTCGTTTAGGCTTCACAGATGCAAACTGTGAGAGATCTTCCTTCTCTTTCATTCTTAGTGATTTACGTGTCAGGTACATTGTTGTGTTTTCTATAAAAATAAAATAAAATAAAATATATTTGGAAACCAAAGTCTATTTAACCTGGATAGATACAGCTTTCAGGTTGTAAAGGAAATGCTAAAAATCTTATTGTGATAGTATATTGCTTTCTCGGAAGGCTTGATAATTGTTACTTAGTTTAGTTTTGATTTATGTTTAGTTTTGATTTATATTTAGTTTTGCTTAAAGCAGGAATTTGAAAAGCTTTATAAAACAGACATATACTTTGATTTTTATCAATTAATGAAATTACATAGTTGTAATTTCTTGAATTTATTACATAGTCAATAAATACTTACTAAACTAAACATCTCTTGTGTTGCAAGTGCTAGGGATGCAGTTACCACTCACAGTCCAGCGGGTATACGTAGTGACTGTGTTAGCTCAGAGAAGAATATCAGAAGAAATGATGGAGCCAGCAGTTCCTAAAATGAAGTTTGCATTCTGTCAGCAAAAGGTTAGCCAGATGGGTTTGCCATTTTAAAGAGCTTTGGAATAGCTTTATTACTTCATATCCTTAACATGAAGAGATGCATGGTCTTTTTGTAAATGCTGATTGTTTTAAAAGTTGAGAAGATTTTTGCAAAACTCAAAAATCTCCTTTGAAATAATTTTACTCAGGGCATTGGCCTTTCCCTGGTTTAGGAATCATTCTTGCCAGAGATTCAATCTTGAAAGTAAGTTGGAAGTAGGAAGGGGAGGATGAGAGAACTCAAATCATCGAGCATGTGTTGCAGAAGCTAGAGCTATGGAAAATTTCTACCTGAGGTGTCTCATTGTGTTTTGTGGAATTGGCAGAAGCTGTATAGTCAGTCACTCATTCCGTGCCTATTGTTTCAGTAATGCAAGCCTAAAAGGAAAATTTTAAGTAAATGTTTGATGAAAGATGTAATAACTTTGGCCTTAAGTGCCTGAGGGAATTACTAGATGACTTTAATTAGGGGTGTGGTTGACTTTCATTTTGAAAATTTCACTCTGACCTTGGTATAAATTAGGGAATGGGCAAGAATGGCAGCAGAAACAACAGTGGAGTTGTATGAATAATTTAGGGAAAAGGAAATGAAGGCTGAAATTAAGATGAAGGGGTAGATTTGAAAATCTTTTCTATATAGACTGAACAAATGTCTAGAAATATTTTGCTGTTACTGAGGTGTTTATTTGCTTCTATTTAGAAAAGACAGTTTGATTAGAAAGCATAGTATATAGATTGACAGAAGTAACTTAAAAAGCCCACTCTGCCCTGTTTTCAGAGAATTGATTTCTGAAATGTCTAGATAAATCATTTAAATCTTTTTAGAACATAGCTTTGGTTCTGAGACATGAAATCTCTCAAACAATGAAAATGTCATTTTGTAACAGGATTTGACATTAACAGATAAAAGATGTATTAAAGTGTTTCGTTTATAGAATTTGATAACCTTGATAACATTTTATATGTTACAAAATATAAGACTTAGTATTTCTCAGGGGTACTGAAAGTCTGTTGATTGTGCTAAAATTGCAGCAGATTAATTGTCTCACTTTATTTTATTTTAAATTAGTAACTTTGTCTTGTCAATGTGTTGACTCTTGCAAAATTGGGAAAGCTTTTCCATTTTTATTAGAAATTATTAAATAAAAATGACTTCATATATGGTACTTCATATTTTTCACAAATACAGTTAGTGCTTGACTTACGACCACGATTGGTTCCGACAGACCGGTCGTAACACGATTTGGTCGTAAGTTGAGTAGGCTATCTGTACAGTTACGATTTGGCCGTAAGTTGAGTAAGCTATATGTACAGTTGAAATGGTGCATGCGGAGATGGTAGTGCTGCCGGAAGCTGGTCCGCACTGTCGTACGCCCAGCTGGGCAACGTTTGCGCTGCCAGATGCAGAGCAGTCATGGCTAGCAATTGTGGTAGTAAAGTCGAATGGTCGTAAGTTGCATAGGTTGTAAGTCAATCAGTACCTGTAAAAGATATTTTTAGATGATAGTTTTATTTTTATTTGCATACTATGAAAATTAGATTTGATGAATTAAATGTCTGTTTTCCATTTTTAGGAAATTTTAATTAATGTATGAAAAAAATTAGAGAGGATACACTGCATAAACCCAAAGGATATCTTTCAGTTTGTTGCTTGTCTTAAAGTTCTATTTTGTGAATTGTTAAATGATTGATTGGTAGAATATGAGAATTATTTTGATCATAATTGAATCTTGAAGAGATTTATCTTTTATTTTTGTTTTGATGTTTTATTGTTTACCTCAAGCTATCTGATTATATTGAATGAATGTCTTTAATTTCCTTGTGTCAGATTCTAAAAAAGGGCATTCTCTTAAGAACAGAGAAGAAAATAGAGATACATAGGTATATAATTAATACTGTTGTAATAAAATATATCAGAAATTCACATTTTCATGATATACCGTCAAGTTGGTACACAGTATTGGCTCTGACTTCTTTTTTCTTAGATCAATTAGAGGGCAGATTTTAATATTAAATACTTTGGAGTTGCTTCTGCATACTTAAAAAATATTCTTGGTTCCTTACAGTCATGTGGCTGATAGAATGAAGTACATACACTTCTGTGTGTAACCAGTTACAAAGCGGCTTAGCTATGAATCAGAATTTCTCTTTTCAATTTCTTCATCATCTTAGGCCTTAGCGTTATAAGTTTGGTTGTCACACATTTTTACATTTAGAAGTTTTTCCATTTTTATTTACAAAGATAATCTCATGAATGAATGAATGCTTTTTCATGAACTCAGGGCACTCCCTTTCACTCTCTGTTTTGCTTACTATTACTTTTAACCTTAGTGACATACTCTGTGTCCTTAGAACCATGTAGCCAGCTTTGATCACATAATGTACCCACTTTTTATATAATTTTTTGATTTGAAAAATAGAAATATTTTCTTATATTTTAAAATATTGCCTCCCTATCTGCTCTTCAACCCATTTTACATTTAGAATCCAAATATGTTCAGTGTTCAGCCTTTGCTGTTTTTACTAACTTTCTTCCCTACTTTTAGTTAACAGCCAGGTCCTTGCCTGCTGTGCAGTCTGATGAAAGACTTCAGCCTCTGCTAAACCACCTCAGGTAATATAAAGGCACAGCCTTGTTATGCTTATTACATCCATATGCGTTAAAGTGAATAAAGTATATTAAAGTGGTTAAACCCCTTCAATTACTAAAAGTTTGCTTTTGTTTTTGCTTTTATTCCATTATTTAAATTGAAGTTCTTAATACCATGTACTTGTTACCCTTGACTTTTGGGCACTGTAGAAAGCTCTTTTAATTCAACAACAGTGTGTAGAACTACTTGATAAGTTTAAGTTAAATGAGTAGAGATGACTAATTTCATAGAAGGATCTCAAATGAATGAGATATTTATGTAAATACAAAGTTAAGGCGTATGTTTATTGAGGATTGATGAGATGGATGGAGTTCATTACTAAATACAAAAATAATATCTCATTATTTAAAAAATAGAACATACAGGAAAGGAAAAGGAAAAACCTATTATCACTACTCAGAAGTAATATTTATCCTATCTATGTTTTTTAAATTTTTTATTTTTTGAGATGGAATCTTGCTTTCTTGCCCAGGCTGGAGTGCAGTGGTGCAATATTGGCTCGCTGCAATCTCTGCCTCCCGAGCTCAAGCAATTCTCATGCCTCAGCTTCCCGAGTAGCTGGGATTTCGGGCATGCGTTACCTTGCCTGGCTAATTTTTGTATTTTTAGTAGAGATAGGATTTTACAATATTGGCTAGACTGGTCTTGAACTCCTGACCTTAGGTGATCCACCTGCCTCGGCCTCCCAAAGTGCTGGTATTACAGGTGTAACCACTGCACCCGGCCCTTTATTTTTCAACCAAGAGTTGAAATTATAGTTTATATGACTATTTTTTCCATTTTTTAAACATTGTAATATTTTTCCCCTAGTATTAAAATCTTTCTAAAAACATTATTGTTAGTGACTACATTATATTTTCTTGTATGCCTGTACTATAGCATATTTATTTCCCTTTGGGAAGCTTTGGACCATTTCCAGTGTTTTTTGTTTTTTTCTTTTCTCTGACTGTAAAATAATGCTGAATATTAACCTCTATCTGTGTTTTAGATCATTTTTTCAGAATTGGAATTACTTTGCCAAAGGGTGTGAACCATTTTAAAGATTTAAGTATATATGTATATTTCTTGTTCAAAATCTTATTCTACCTGTATGCTCATATTTGTATAAAACTGCCGTGTAGCTAAACTCTGAACGAGATAGGGCAGCTAAAACAGTTAATGATAGGTTAGACATAGAGATATTATCGTGATCCTATGCATTTTGTTTATTATTAATAATTAATTATTCTTATTTTGAAGTGGGATTAACTACCTGTATTCTTTGCTCACTTATTGATAGCATCTCCCAAGCTTATTTGCTCTTAGATATTTTAATGGATGGTAACTCTTTGTTGTATTTGTTACAGACTTACTTTATAAAATTCTAAAATTGTGTTAGTCAACATACCTACATTTTCATGTTTTATGTAGTTAGGCACCAATGGTGTTTTCCTTTATGGTTTTGAAAAATTCTTTTTAAACATCTCTTTCAGAAGTATGGATAGATTTTACTTTGTTATCTTTTAGTTTTCTTTATTTTTTCTTTTTTTCTTTCTCCCCTCTCCCCTTTCCTTGCCTCTTCTTTCTCCTCTCTGATATCTATTTCTTCCCAGACAGCTACTTTTTAACCTTTGTGTAATTGTTTTGTTGGGTTAAGAAGAAGGGAGGGGGTCAAGACTTTCATCAGGGACTAAGTAGCATACATTTTTATGTATAACAATATTTATATATAGTTGTTAAATTCCCTAGAGCTCTATCTTTGTTAGTTAAGAATTCCAGAAATTATTTTTGCGTCTCTTGCTCAATGCCCGCCTTCCGCATTCAACTCTGCTGGTAATTTTATTTCTTCAATATCTCTCTTGCTATCATAGCCTCTCGTCTGTTTGCTTTGTCCTTAATATATTTCACATCATTGCCTTGTGTGTTTATATTATTTGTTGGCTTAAGACCCATCTCTGCCTCTCCAATTTCATTCTGGATGAAGCCTGAACTTCTTAGCCTGGCATAAGAGGTCATTCTGGAAGACGCCTGGCCTGTTTGTCTCTTTGGACCACTGTTTTAACACTGAGATCCTAACTTCACCAAATGCTGTGAAGTTCCTTTAATACAACCTGTTTTTTGCTCACTTACAAATGTTTTTCCTTCTGCCACTTCTATTTAGGTAAAGTTAAATATACATAATATATATAATTTAAAACATTTTAAATATATTTAATATAATTTTAAAATATTTTAAATGTATTAATATAAATATATATTTTAGACAAATGTATTTAAAATATATTATAGATGTATATTAATACGCAAATAGGTTTATATTCTCCCCATGCCCCACTTTTATAACAACTTTTGCTTGTCTTTTAAGACTCCTCTCAAGTGTTACCTCTTCTGATAAGTTTTCCCTGACCATTAATTAACTTCCCTAGTGTGAATTGGGAGTCTTTTATAGATATTTTTATAATATCGCATGCCCTCCTCTGTATTACAGAACCTGTGATATTGTTATTGTTTGTGTACTGTTTGATTTCTCCATTATAGTATATTTGAGAGCTTGCAAAGTGATGTTCATATTTGTATTTTCAGCAGCTGAGACAGTATCTGGTGCATGATAGGTATTTATCATATGTTTTGTTGAATGAAAGAGTGAATGAATGCAAGTTATATGTTAGTGAAATTTTGGGTTTTTTTCTGCGTAAACTATTTATAATTTATAAGTCATACTGTCAAAATTTTTCTTTTCTAGAAAACCACTGGTTCAAAAGGTAAAAACCTAAAGGGTTGAATCTTGCTTCTAGTTAATCTTACAGTTGATTCTGAGAGATAATGATGAATTCTCCTTCCTCCATCTCAGTATGGTAATTGCCAGCTAGAATTTAGATTAACTACTCACACATCTCTTTGAGTCCTTGAAAGTTGCACAAACTGTACATTTGTTTAGGGCTTTTATTCTCTGTGGAGTTCACTCATGACTGGTTGCTAGGCAACCAGGACTAGATGCTACATGTAATATCCGCCCACTGATGTTGCTTTTTTATTATTATTAAACCGAACGGTTTCTCATTTTGTTACCATGTCAGAGACATCTATATGTCGGGTGGCAGCTGATGTGCATACTTTGACACTTCCTGTTCTACAAAGTAACCTTGTGATATGCCTTTGAAGAATATTGAATGGTTGCTTTTGCTTGTCTAAATGTAATGTTTTTCTTTTATCTTCCTTTTGCTTAGTTCTAAATAGGAATTAATATTATTTGGTTTGAGAGATTCTAATAATATTTTTTAAGAAAAAAATTACCAATTTGCATGAATTGTGTAATTTAAATGTTATCTAGAGGAGGATGGACATTATGAGGTTGATACTGAGATCATTATTAGGCCTAATTTTGTTTATTGCCTCTAATGATGAAACAGGAATGACGAGTAACATTTTAATTAAATTCGTCAATAAAACTGATTTGGGACATAATACAAATACCTGTAAAAATTGAAGTAGCAATACAGAGAAATTCTCAAATAATTTTACAGGATTTAGAGACTCAAAGAGAATTAGGGTAACACTTTGCCAATCTAATAATCTAGAATATTGCTTAACCATATATATTATTTTGAGAATGCAGAAGTGATGTGTCCAGACTTTTTTAGTTGAATCCAATTCTCAAGCACAGCACAACATCCTGCTTCAGCATCTTACGACAGTACAACTGTGTTTTTATTCATTAGTATCATCCATTCACTCATTAGTTACTTGGTGCCCATTATGTGCTTAGAATTTGAAAATAAAAAGGAGACAATCTCTGTTTTCAGGGAGTTAGGTTTGATCTGAGAGAGAGGCACTGGGACAAGTTATAAAATTTGCAACATTTTCCTTCAGAATTAAATGCAAGGTACATAATTTTATTAATTGAACTGTCTCCCTTGTGGAATTATTTCCTTAAGTAATCGGGCCATGACTTAATTGTTTTGGTTTCTGTGCATTCTGGCACAGTAGTGGCTCTCAGTGGGAGCTCAGATTGGACTGAAATTTATTCTTATTTTTTGTTGTTTTATTATTTTTATCAGTCAGCTTTCTCAGGCTGAATGGACTGAACTAGAATCTCACTTGAGGGATAATGTTGTCATTAAGAAGGAGAATTAACAAAGGAAGACAAGGCAATTAGGGAATGAATATGATTGCTTAGATGGTAATTTCGGTAGTTTCAGACATTTTAAGCTTGAACTACCTGTGGGGACATATGTGGGGAATGTTTAGTAGGTAGCTGAATACAGACCTGCAGTTGAAGACTGAGGTTTACATCAGGGAGACATTTGCTAATCATCTCTGTGTAGGTCATGGTTAAAATAAAGGGAAGGGTTGAGATCACTCAGGAAGAGAGTATTAAGAGATAAGAAAAGGCTGAAGTGTTCTCAGTAGGACCCACCGAATATCAGTGTTTAAATAACTTGTGATTGGCAGTGCAGGATATGGGATATGAGAAACCAGTAAAAATACCAGAGAGGAGTCTGGAACAAAACAGTAACACAAAAAAGGATGGTGGTATCATGGGTGCTAAGGGAAAATTTTCAAGAAGAGTTGGTAACACTGTCAAATGCCTTAGGGAAGTCAGATCAGAACTGCCAGTGCCAGTTGGATTAGGCATCTGGGCACCCCTGGAGGCTTACCCACAATATATGTAATGACGTGGATACAGGTACAAGTCTTGTGAGGATTCGAGGAATGAATAAGAAATGAGGCTGTGGAGATACAGGGAGTAGGCTATTCCTGGTTGAGCTTAATTCTGAGGATATGTAAGGAGAAAGGACTGCATCTGTGAGCTTCATGGTTGAAGAAAGTGTTTTTTTTTTTTCCTTAAGATTGGTAAGACGAGCATATCTACAGGTTAAGGCAGAAATGAGTACTGTGGGTGTAAGAGGGGATAATTGAATGGACAGTGTTTCAGAAAGGGTAGAAGGGAATTGGCCAGGACATCAAACTGACTGAAGTTTTA